TGTTTTAATTGTACAATCTGCTCATTAGCCTCACTTAACTGTAACTGCAATGCAGCAATTAATTTGAGGGATTCCTCATATTCCTTGCTGCATTCGTCAAACTCATCGACTGTTCTCTGAAGTTGATCCCTTTCTTTTGTAACAAATGTATATTCTTTATGCAATTTAACCATGTCACTTTTTAGTTTAGTATTTTTAGCAATTATATTTATTATTTCCTTTTCATTGTCATCCCTTTCTTTAATTAACAGCTCACACTGCTCCTTTGACGCCTTAAGTTCTTGAAGCGCCATTTGAAGCTGGTTCTCCAATTGGCGCGTTTTGGCGTTGCGTGTATTCATTTTACTATTAAATGTAAATAGCAAAAGAAAACAAAGAAAGAAAACCAAAGAAGCAGAGTAAGCAAATGTCGAGATGTATGGGCTTATTTACAGATCTCAAATTAAATTATCATGTAAATAATTCAAAATGAAATCCACAACAACACTTAATAGGTAAATCTTAAAATGTTAAAGGGATAACAAGAATTACACTTACAATACGTTTAAACGATGTTCGTTACAGCTGTTACTTTTGGTTGGAACAGTAAACACAATGTATGTAATTAAAATAGGTACTTCTGACTTTTACTTATATCACAAACACAAATAAGTCGAATTTAGCAACTGTAACTCAAAATTGAGGTGGATATTATTATTTTACAATATTTAATTTTTTAAAATAGTTGGGAGCAATTATTTTACAACTTGTCACCGGGGTTGCCACAGAGAAAAAAAAAACATTAACAACTCACTAGGCTTGCAATAGCCTCCAGCACTTGTTATATTCCAGCAGAGGAGATATTATGAGAGGTAAACACAATTATAGAGGTAATCCAATTCAATTGACCTTATTTTATTCCAGATAGTCTCAAATATTATACTTATAAAAAAACTGTCTCATAGTGGGTTGCGACTAGTTCATTAGAGTGCGAGTCTTACACAAAATAGGTCGGGGAAAAAGTTGCTTCGTATTTTGTTGGTACAAAATTGAAGAAAAGATCTCTTTGGTTTTACTGGTCGTATCTGACTGGTTTCAATATAAATATATACATATGATATTAAGAAAGAGAAAAATAAAAAGTAAAAAACACTTTCCTGCTACTTTCTATTGTTTTTCTGTCCGCCAAAATGAGTGAATCTAACGAAGAAATACGATACATTCTGAAGTTTTATTACAAAAGAGAGAAAAATGCGACTCAAGCCGCGAATAAAGTTTGTAGCGTTTATGGACCTAATGCAGTGTCAGTAAGAGTAGCACAACGGAGATTCAAGCGGTTTCAGTCTAGGAATTTTGATGTCAAAGATGCAGCTCGCACTGGTCGCCCTCATACAGATAAATTCGATGCTATTTTTTATGAAGCAGAGAAAGATAGGCATATTAGTAGTTACGACATAGCCGAAGAATTGAGGAATCACCACAGAATAGTTTCGATTAATATCTAATAGTCTGGCTATACAATAAAAAACTTAATACTTGGGTATCACATGAGCTCACTGAAGGAAACCTAATGAATCGTGTACTCATTTGCGATTCTCTATTGAAACGTAATGAAACTGAACCATTTTTGAAAAGATTGATTACTGGTGATGAAAAATGGAACATTTACGTCAAGAACGTGCGAAAAAGATCATGGTCAAAGGGTAGTCAAGCTCCACAGACTGTAATGAAACCCGGATTAACACGCAATAAGGTTACGCTGTGCATGGTATATGGTGTGTATGGTGGAATTGGAAGGTTTATTATGAGCTTTTATCGCTAGGCTAAACTTAAGCAAGTCATTGAGAAAAAATGGCCGGAATTAATCAACAGAAAAGGACTGGTCTGTCATCATTAAAACGCCAGACTACACACATCTTTGGCCATTCAGCAAAAATTGAGAGAGCTTGGTTGGGAGGTGTTAATGCATTCACCATATTATAGTCCTGACCCTGCACCCCCAGATGTTCACCTGTTTCGGTCCCTTGAGAATACTTTGGGTAGTGTTAGGTTAACATCAAGAGAGGACTGTCAAAACTACTGGTCGCATTGTCTTGATCAAAAATCCCAAGATTTCTACAGCAACGGGATTATGTCACCACCTACCTACAAGACAGCAACAAGTTATCGAACAAAATGACACATACTTATATTATAATTAAAGGAGAAGGAGACGTCTCCATACATTCTTGGGCCCAAGTGTTAACAAGATGAAATTAGGGCCATTTGAATCGTATATATAAACAATTCATAGCTGAAAATCTGGCAAGATTTGTTAATCTAGGAGCTGAGTTATTGTAAAATAAGTAAAAGTGAGATTGTGATTTTTCACTGTTATTACACTGTAACAGGTTATTTTTCGCTATAATTACTTAAAGAAATAAAAGCAGGATCAGTATAAAATCACCAAAAAAGCTTTGGTTAATAATGTTACGAAATGCTGAATCGATTAACGAAAGTTAAGACAACAACAACTAAGTGAAGTGAATATTAGGGATATCGATTTGAGATCGATTACTTGAATTGTTGTTGTAACTGTTACTTGTTGAAATTTTGATATTTTGTATTTTTTATTATTACGAGTATTTTGTAGATGTGTACGCAACTTTTTTATAACACAGAAAAATAATTGAAAATAGATATTAAAATGCTCAATTCAACCGAGAATTGATTATAGTGAGTAGTATAGTATAGTAATTCACTCGTTTCAAATCGAATCGAAAATCGGTCTTTTTCTTGTAAAAGGTTTGAAGTTTGAACTGTGAAGTCAAGTTTCAAAATGAGAAGTCCTCTATTGGAAGATAACGTTCAGAAACGAGAATTTCATTAGTGTATTCTTTATGGTAATCGATTTATAGCCATAAAGAATACACTACACTCTATTTTCCAACTTATTTCTTATTTTATTGTTTTTTCGAAATCTATATTGTAAAATGAGCTACTTTTTTTGTATTTCACTTTAAAAAATATGGCCAATTTTTTAAAGTATAAACCAATTAGTTAACTTCAGGCCCAAAAATCCCATTCCCCCTCAATTGAACTTTCAAAAAAAAGAGATGAATTGATATATAAAATACGAAGAAACTTTTTCCCCAACCTTATATATTGAGCTTAGTATGTCAGATAAGCTTATTATAAAATATAGTATTTAATACAGCTATAAAATTAATTAAAACAAGACTTCTCTTAATTTATTTCATGTTCGCCATTAATTTTAAAGATACATAATTTTTATTAAGCATTTACCCAAGGTAGTACCAAATTTAGGTACCTTGTAAATAAGTAAATTTAATTAAAAATTAAACAACAACTCGAAATTAACAAAATAAACAAGTTTCAAGTATAACCGTCGGCACTTTATTTTACTCCATTTAGCCGTACAGAATTGATAAAAGAAATATCCTTATAGAACAGTACTTTTTTACTTCAAAATTTAAATAATTCTTCGTAAAATCTGGAGTAGAGAATTCGTTACCCGCCGGCACCAATGATATTATTAATTGCTCTGTTAAGTCCTAACTTACCACGTTCTTGGTGGTGAAGGAGATATGGTGAGGAAACATGCGTAATTTTTGATGTTTCGGGGACATATCAAGTCCGCCAACGTACATTAGATCAACGCGGCTAACGCTTCTTACCAGTCTATTGCATTGCACTACATGAGCGTCTTTCATGAAGGGAGTGCTTATTTTTAAAAAAATCGGGACAAACGATCTAAACCACACTAGGATTTTCTCCTCCATCGTGACGGCAGTTTACAAGCATAAATTACACAAGGACAATTACCCATAACAATTATTTGTAGGCCATACAAATACTTGTTGCGTGCGGAACTCAAATCCGCGGCACTCAACCTCGCATCACAGTCCTAAGGAACTGCGCTATGGAACCGTGTATATAACTGACTCTTTTTACTTTAACCCTGCTATCTGGCGACAGAAATATTTTATTGTAAATAATCTCATTATCATATTATAAATAATATCATTATGATATTATAATGAGATAATATTAGCTAAAAATTTTTGATAGAACAAGTGTGAAAAACGAGCACAGAGTCTACTTGATTGTAAGTGGATACTGTGGCCCATAGATATCTTCATGGATTACGAATTAACATACAGATGCGTGTGGCCATCCCTGAGGGCTCAGATGGAATGCCTCGTTTCCAGTAAAAAGGGTCTCCGTTTCTCAACACTTACTTTATGAAACAGCATTAAGCTGCTGTTTTATGCCGGTATTCTGTAAGAGCATGGTCCTTCTCTGTTAGTGCCGACCCATTCGTGCTACAACCATAATACAGCTGCATAAAGGCTCTCACGTAAAATAGTCACGTATCTTTTGACCTAAAATAACCAGACGTTTTAAACCGTCACGATAAAGGTTGTTAAACTCAATTTCAATATTAAGGAAAGGAAACACGTTTCTTTTTATTCATAACTTTATTACTAACAATGTTTGTAAATAAATAAATAATTTAAATAATTTACTACTTTTATCGAGATAACAAAATGAATATTTTAACTGAACAACTATTTTTCCATAACAATTTAAGCTGTAATTCTATAATCGATTCGTCTCTTTAATCTTTACATAATAATCGTTGGTGCATCTGTTAGTGGTCATTTAACTTTTGAACTAATTGACCGGATGTATATTTTTATGTCGAGATGAAGGTTCGTAGACATACTAGTGAATACTAGGATAGGTCGCACTATAGTCAAGTCAATTAAGTTCTATGTTTATGAACCAAAATTACCGTTTCAAAATATAAAGATGATTTACAGTCAAAAAAGTAAATCACAAAGTTCCAGACGCTATAAGTGGTCCAGTTGAGAATAAAAAAATTACATTTAAAATACGTAGTGAATTTGTAGTGAAACTCATTGTGCTATTTACCGGAAAGTATTAGCTGCTCGCAGTTAAATAAATTATAATCTTGAGCAAATTTATTTGATTGAATTAAGGCCACCGTAACAGATTTACGATTGTTTGTACTTTGTCCAGCCTCTGTATGGGAGTGGTGTGTCAGTCAAGTCGCGTCTTCTTCGATGACCATGATGCCCGGCGTATATGACTTGGTGGTCTTCGTGGTCGTCGCTGGAGGCCAGTTTTTTAACTCCCACGATGGCCGACAGCATCAGTGCAAGAGCTGACACTGCTAAAGCCTGAAGTATATAATTATAATTTTAATGGAACTTATGAGTTTTATATTATTTAATAAATAACATTAAATATTTTCATTTAATGATATAATATAGGTATATTATATTGATATTAATCACCATAAAAAACTAGAACCTAGGCCCACCCTACACGTGTCCCCCGGGTGGTGCTAAACGAGCGACAAAGCCGAAACGACAGACTCGGCTCCTCGCCGTATGGTAGCGGCGTAAAATCTACCACCCCCTTAGTTCGCACCATGAGCCTAGTAGAAAAAGAAATGGCCCCGAGTTCCCGGCGCCCCTTTAATGGGGCAGGGGTGCGAAGAATCTCCGGGAGAAAAACCGGCGACGAGGTTCGCCACCCGTCACGTCCTGTCTCCCGGAGAGGCGAAAAGTGGATTGCGGAGACCCGTCTGGCTACGCTGAATGTATGTGGAGCAATGAATGATAAGATGGATGAAGTATGCGAAATGATGAATGATAGAGGAATAGATGTGTTATGTGTAAACGAGACGAAACGAAAGGGAAGAGATGTCACTGCACATGGCATGTATACCGCTTACTGGTCTGGAGTAGACGAGACCGAGCGGGCATGCCAGGGAGTCGGTGTCATCCTTTCAGAAAGAATGGGTCAATGTGTGAAAGAGTATGAATGTGTTAGCCCAAGGCTGCTGTGGATACGAATGAAAGTGGGCTTAAAGAAGTTGTTTGTGCTAGGGGTGTACGCCCCAGATATGTCTAAGCCCACTTATATCCGAGAGCAGTTTTGGGACATGGTAAGGCTGGTGTTGATGAAATGTAAGGAAAATGAAAATATTATTATGTTAGGAGATTTTAATGGAAGGGTGGGGGTGAAGAGGTCTGGTTATGAAAGGATATTAGGAACGTTTGGCGATGAAAGAATAAATGAGAATGGTGAAGACCTCCTCACCGTATGTGTGGAAAAGAATCTTTTTGTGGCGAACACTTCCTTTCGCCATAAGAGGATTCACATGTATACATGGGAAAGAGGGGATGATAGAAGCATGATAGATTTTATAATTGTGGATGAAAGAATGAGGAGCGCAGTGGTAGATACAAGGGTTTACCGGGGGTCCAACGTAGGGACGGATCATTACTTGGTCTTATGCCGAATTAATGGTCTATTCAGACGTTGGCGGCATCGGACATCGGTGTCTACCACTGCGTTACAGCGTATAAGAATAGAGAGGTTACAAGATGAAGGTGTGAAAGAGAAGTATAAATGCAGACTGAGGGAAAATATAAGTGGGTTGAATGAATTATGTATGAATGATTTAGAATTGAAGAATGTATGGAATAATATTAAGAAAGTTTTAGTGGATGCAGCCACCGAAGTATGCGGTGTAAGTAAGAGAACGAATGAAAGGAAAAGTAATACGTTGTGGTGGGATGATGAGGTACGGATGGAAGTTGAAGCAAAGAAGAGAGCATGGCTAGATTTACTAGCAACTAAAGCTGGTAATTCTGGCGGTATGAATGATGAGATTGAAAGAAAAAAGGCAAACTTTAGACGTATAAATAAGAGAGTAAAAGAAGTTGTTGAAAGGAAAAAGCAAGAAAGGATAGATAAAAATGATAGAAGGATATCTGATAACTTCCAGGAAAATATTAAAATGTTCTGGAAGCTCGTAAGAACTGCCAGGGGAATTTCAAAACAGCCTAGAATGAATGCTATACGAGACGAGAATGGCTGCATGCTGAATGATGAAGTTTCGAATTTAAAGAGATGGAAGGAATACTTTGAAAGCGTGTTTAAGAGTGAAGAGTCGTCTGAAATAAGTGAAATAGAAATTCCGGAAGAAGTGGAGAGAGGTAGGGAGATAAGTGTAGATGAAATAATGAAAGCAATGAAAAGCATGAAAGCAGGTAAGGCAGCCGGATATGATAGAGTATCACTCGAAATGCTAAGGGCTGGTGAGGGTGTAGTTGCAGGCCTGCTGCACACCTTGTTTAATTTATGTTGGGAACTGAAACGGGTACCGAAAGACTGGTGCAAAGCCGTTGTAGTCCCAATATATAAGGGAAAGGGGTCGCAGCAGGACTGTAAAAACTACCGTGGTATCAGCTTGCTTAGCATTGTGGGTAAACTGTATGCTAAGGTGTTAATTGAAAGAGTTATGGAAGAAACTGACGGAAAAATTTGGGATGTGCAAGCGGGATTTAGAAAGGGAATGGGATGTACGGATCAGGTCTTTTCCATGCGCATGATAGCGGAGAAGTTTTTGGCTAAAAACCAGAAAGTTTTTTGTGCGTTTTTGGACTTGGAAAAGGCTTATGACAGAGTGGACAGGAACGTGTTATGGCAAACACTGAACTCATTTGGGTTGAGCGCTGGCTTGATACAGGCATTAAGGTCTCTTTATAGGGACTCTAGTGCTTGTGTCAGGATCAACGGGGTCTACTCGGACTGGTTTGGCATTCATAAAGGTGTCAGACAGGGATGTGTGGCTTCCCCGTGGCTGTTTAACCTATTTATGGACAGTTGTTTGCAAACTTTGAAAGTTGAAGAATGTGGGTTGAGAATGGGTGAGTCAACCGTCAAATGCCTTTTGTACGCCGATGATCAAGTCATATTTGCATCGTCGGCGGCCGAGTTGCAAATGATGGTTACTTTAATGAATTGTTCATTGAAAGAAAGGGGTATGAAAGTGAACGCAAGTAAGACGAAAGTGATGGTTTTTGAAAGAGAAGAAAGTAAAACTTTATGTAAAATAAGAATAGAAGGGGAGTTGATTGAGCAAGTTGATGAGTTTGTATATTTGGGATGTTTATTTAGCAGGGATGGTAGATATGATAAGGATATAGAACGACGAGTGAACGCAGGAAATAGAGTGAATGGGGCTCTACACGCTATTGTGAGGAGTCAGAATGTGTCAACTAAGGCACGTATGGCAATTCATAATGCTGTGTTAGTACCCACTTTAATGTATGGTAGTGAAAGTTGGGTCTGGCAGAAGAAGCATGAGAGTAGAATAAATGCTGTAGAAATGCGTTCCTTAAGGAGTATGCTAGGGCTGAATCTGAATGACAGGGTGAGAAATAGTGTAATAAGAGAAAAGTGTGGTTTGCAAGATGACGTTGTGACAAGGATTAAGAAAGGAATGCTTCGGTGGTTTGGTCACGTAGAAAGAATGAACGAGGAAAGAGTGACAAAGCAAATTTATGTTGCAGAAGTGAACGGCAGGGTCGGGAAGGGACGCCCTAGACGAAGGTTTATCGACCAGATCGGCGATACATTGAAAATGGGCCAGATTAGGAGTACCCTTAACCGACGAGCGTGTATGCGTAGATATATGGATGTGAAAGAGGCGAGAGAGGTGTGTCAGTATCGCGCCAAATGGAAGTCCGTAGTCTCTGCCTACCCCTCTGGGTGACAGGCGTGAGTGTTTATGTATTATGTATGTATGTAAAAAACTAGAACTAAAAATTTAAACTTTCATACAGTCCTATTTCCCGTTTTGTAGTGCCAAGAACGAACCCAGAAAAAAGTTATGAGGTAACAGACATAAAAAAATACAAATACATACAACAAAAGAAGGTGACAGACATCATCATAAACTCTCACAAATTTTAAGTGCTATAAACAAAAGTTGTACTTTAACCTTTACTTTTCTTCTTTGTCTTTGCCTTCTATCATTATCTCTGTCTACGTCTATAATGTGTGGTACTTATAGATTACTTTCACAAACATGTATATTGTATTTCTTTACCTGATTTGTTTTTTGTGGTGTACAGTTTAGCTAAGTATCTACTTAACTATCTATAATATTGATAGGTTTAAGCGGATGGCATCCTTGAATTCCTTAGTATATTTATAGAGTTAATTTTAGCACTAACAAAGTTTGATTGTTACAGTGCCATTTGTTAATTTAAGGGAAACCTGTTATTGGCAATACTACATTACACATAGTTATAAGATATACAATTTGTAAAGCTGTTGGTTTTCTTAATAAAATAAAATATTTTCAATCGGGACTTTGATTGACTTTACAAACAACGAGACTATATATATAAACCACTTATTATCATATTTTAAACTTTACAAAGATTGCCTGCTCCATGAATGTTTGCCGACGGTTGGCACCACCACTACACGATTGAGTAAAAATATCCACTACCCCATATTATCCCGTGAGAGGCGGCGTAGGGAAACTGAACCTCGAGATAAGCAGCAGCATCTACCTTACAACAGCAGCGTAAAAATAACGCTCGCCAACCATCCTATGGTAAATATCCTCTTATGCTATAATAATGATAATTTCACGCTCTCAAAGAATACCAGCGTAAAATAGCAGCTTAATGCCGCTGTGTTTCGTATGGTGAGTGTAGAGAGCCAGAGACCCTTTTTACTGGAAAAGAGGCATTCCATCTTAGTTAGGACAAGGATGACAAACGAGCACAAAGTCCACCTGATGGTAAGTGGTTGCTGTGGCCCATAGACATCTACATCTATCCTCGATTACATCTACATCTATCCTCGATTAGGTTGTCACCCGTGAGGACTAAGGTGGAATGCCTCGTTTCCAGTAAAAAGGGTCTCCGGTATTCTACACTCACCATGCCAAACACAGCAGCGTTAAGCTGTTATTTTACGCTGGTATTCTGTGAGATCGTGGTCCTTCCGACCGACCGGGGGTCGAGCCGACCCATTAGTGCTACAACTATACCGGTAATATAACTGCAGCATGGCTCTACTACGTAAGATTATGTAACTGGATTCCTTCTAAACAGCTGGACCTATTTTGATGATTTTTGTGTGTGTGTAAGTTGATTCGAGAATAGTTAAGACCCGGGACCCGGTAGATTCTGTTGTTGACATCCAGAAAACACCTAAGCGATGGCGGGGCGGTTCGCTAATTTATTATAAAAGCAGTAAGTATATGTAAATAATTAACAGCATCGAGCGCTTCAACTCAATAGTTTTTACTATTAATTATTCCTACACGTTTTCACATAGGTGTTAGCAAATGAAAGTGTTGGTA